AAAAAAGAAATAGTGTCAGCCATAAAAACAAGACAAAATTGTGCCGTTTGCAACAACATGGATGGACCTTGAGGGCATTATGTTATGTGAAATCAGCCAGACAGAGAAAGACAAACGCTGTATGATTTCACTCATATGTGGAAGATAAACACACGGATAAGGAGAACAAATTAGTGGTTACCAGAGGGGAAGGGGGAAGGGGGAGGGTGAAAGGGGTCAAGGGACACATACATATGCTGACAGATAGAAACTAAACTATTGGTGGTGAGCACGATGCAGTCTTCACAGAAACTGATATATAATAATGTATACCTGAAATTTACACAATGTTATAAGCCAATATGACCTCAATAAAATGATGTAAAAAAAAAAAAGAAATAGTGTATTTTATCAAAGTTTTTTTTTTTTTACATTTAAACATCTCTGAAATTTGTGTTGGGCCCAGTAAAAGTTCAGCGTCCACTCTAAAGATTAGTACACAAAGATACTCTTCAAAGCTTTGTCTGAGTGGATCCCAGGATCAAAAGCACACAGCAGGGCTAGCCCCGGGCCGTGGCAGTTAAGTTCGTGCCCTCCACTTCGGCAGCCCGGCAGCCCCGGGGTTTGCTGGTTCGGATCCTGGGCGTGGACCTACGCGCTGCTCATCAAGCCATGCTGAGGTGGCGTCCCACATACAGCAACTAGAAGGATGTACAACTATGACATACAACTATCTGCTGGGGCTTTGGGGAGAAAAAAGGAAAAAAGGAGGAAGATTGGCAACAGATGTTAGCTCAGGGCCAATCTTCCACAAAAAAAAAAAAAAGCCACAAGGAGCTACCATCTCACACCTGTTAGAATGACTATTAAAAAAAAAAAAGCACACAGCAACACAATCTTTAGGTTTCTCTTTCCTGTGGAGACATTAAGAAACCTCTGGTCTAGTGCCTATAATGTAAGAATTCATCATGGAAGTATCTTGAAAGATGGGAGAAATCTGGAGATTTTACTAGCAGAAACTCTGTTTGTTGGCAGCTGTATCACATCAGAAAAAGGTTAGGAAATGTCCCCAAACCTGAGCCGTAATAACAAGTTCTTCTCCTTTCTCCTCCACGTATAGGGCATTGGTTGCTACATGTTCCGCATTGACGACTCCGAGGTGGTGGATGCCACCATGCATGGAAACGCTGCACGCTTCATCAATCACTCCTGTGAGCCTAACTGCTACTCTCGGGTCATCAATATTGATGGGCAGAAGCACATTGTCATCTTTGCCATGCGCAAGATCTACCGAGGGGAAGAACTCACTTACGACTATAAGTTCCCCATTGAGGATGCCAGCAACAAGCTACCCTGCAACTGTGGCGCCAAGAAATGCCGGAAGTTCCTAAACTAAAGCTGCTCTTCTCCCCCAGTGTTGGCGTACTAGGACCCAGGGCCATCCAAAGCAAGGCTGAAGGCCTTTGCCAGCAGCTCGGAGTTCCAGGATTGAGTGGGCACAGTTGAGGAGCCTCCATGATGGCTGAGCTCCTGTATGTCCCATATTCACATATACATGTGATCATAGTCCTGGAGGGAGAGAGGAGGTCTCAAAGAAAAGATCCACGATGGGCTTTCTACTGGGGCCCTTCTGATTGTATGCCATTAAAAAGTGGGAAACGGGGTCCCTAGCAGACTTGCCTGGAAGGAGCCTATAGAGGGCTAGTTATGTTGGGAGACTGGGCCTGAGCATCTCCTCAGAGAGAAGTTGCCATCCTCGCCTTGGCCCTTTCCCAAGCACTATAAGCGAGGGGTCAGGCAAAGCCCCGAACATAGGGTTGGTTGGATACCTGAGAGTTGGCCAGCCGGGCCCAGCCTGTAGCCATCTGTTGAACAAACAGAGAAGATCTGGCGGTTTTCCCTACTATCCTCCCCCTTGAGAGTTCACTTCTGGTTGGGAGACAGGATTCTTAGCACCTTTGGTGTCAAAAGGTTGTCTTGGGGTTGTGCCAATTAATTACCAAACATTGAGCCTGTGGGCTTTAAGTGGGAGTGTTATCCCCATGAGCCTTATCTCAGCCAGTTACCTTTCTTGACAATAGGAGCAGCTTCCCTCTCATTCCTTCTCTTCACTCCACTCTCTTCATTTCCCCTTTCTTCATCCCACTGCTTTCCCATTCTTTCTGGGTGGTAGGGGAGAGTGACTCCCTGCTCAAGGACACTCCCTATTGGGCATAGTCTTTGCCTACAAAACGTTCCCTGAGCCTGTAAGCACTGCCAGTGGGGAAGTGGACAGGAGCCATTGGCCATAACCAGACAGAATTTGGAGAAGTTTTCATAGCGCTCCACTGAGAGTTTTAAAGAAATATATGTAGCATGATTTTTTACAAGAGGAAAAAAGAGTATTTAAATAGGATTTGAATCATGCAACAACCAGAATATCACAACCAGGATGACCCCTGGTCCCCATTCTTAGGACATGCTCACTTTATTTTCCCCTTGTTAAGACATAGGAAGACAGTTTTTAAATGGTCAGTGTCCAGTTGAAGGCAGAACACTAATCAGATTTCAAGGCCCAAAACTTGGGGACTAGACCACCTAGTATTGAGGGAACTCTGCCACCTGTGCAAAATCCATTGATAAAGTAAATTAAATGACACTACTGCCCTGATTACTCCTTAGGATGTGGTCAAAACAGCATCAAATGTTTCTTCTCTTCCTTTCCCCAAGACAGTGTCCTGAACCTGTTAAATTAAGTCATTGGATTTTACTCTGTTCTGTTTACAGTTTACTATTTAAGGTTTTATAAATGTAAATATATTTTGTATATTTTTCTATGAGAAGCACTTCATAGGGAGAAGCACTTATGACGAGGCTATTTTTTAAACCGCGGTATTATCCTAATTTAAAAGAAGATCGGTTTTTAATAATTTTTTATTTTCATAGGATGAAGTTAGAGAAAATATTCAGCTGTACACACAAAGTCTGGTTTTTCCTGCCCAACTTCCCCCTGGAAGGTGTACTTTTTGTTGTTTAATGTGTAGCTTGTTTGTGCCCTGTTGACATAAACGTTTCCTGGGTTTGCTCTTTGACAATAAATGGAAAAGGAAGGTCACCCAGCTCCATTGGGCCACTCCCCTCCTTCCCATATTGAAGCTCCTCAGAAGGCTGTAGTAGTATCTGACACAGCAGTTTTCCTCTTCTTTCCTGTGCTCTCTCTCTCCTTTCTGGCACTCGCTCAGAGTGGTGAGAAGTGGTAAGCTACATTTCCCTCATCTTTCCTACTTCAGAGTTAACAACCAAGTTGAATGGCAACCTGACATTTTCCATCACCATCTGCCTCATAGGTCACCTCGCTCCCTTTTCCTCTGCCCACCAAGTCCTCATACCTGCAAAGAACCCGTGGATCCCCCTGTGCCCTCTTTTGGGGCAGCCTGTTGAAACTGAAGCACAGTCTGACCACTCACAATGAAGCAAATTTTTCTCTGCCTCTGTCAGCCACAAGGTTTCAGAGCAGTGTAGTCCAGTAGAGGGTGGGGCACCCTTTTCTCACCACAAGAAGCCCATTCCTATGGAAGTCTAGCAAAGCAATACGACTCAGCCCAGCGCCCTCTGCCCCAGGACTCATGGCTCTGCTGTGCCTTCCATCCTGGGCTCCCTATTCTTCCATAAGCGTAAGAACTTTGTCTGGTGGCTTTGCTGGAACAGTTTTACTGTCATGCAGGGAGCCCTGTATTGCGGCCAGGATGGCAGCGACTTCCTTGTCATCATGGAGAAGTGCCAGCAGAGGACTGGGGAAAAGCACTCTACCCAGACCTCACCTCCCTTCTTCCTCTTGCCCATGAACAAGATACAGTGGCCCTAGGGGTTCCACTCGTGTCTGGTTTCCTTTATTATTGCACTGTGTGAGGTTTTTTTGTAAATCCTTTTGTTCCTTTTTTTTTTTTTTTTTTAAGAAAAAAACCTTAAGCTGCATTTGTTACTGAAATGATTAATGCACTGATGGGTCATGAATTCACCTTGAGAAAGACCCAAAGGCCAGTCAGGGGGTGGGGGAAACTCAGCTAAATAGACCTAGTTACTGCCCTGCTAGGCCATGCTGTACTGTGAGCCCCCTCCTCATTCTCTTTCTACCAATCCCCAACCCTGAGGCCAGGGGAGGAACCCACATCTTTCCTTCTGCCAGCCGCAGATGGTTTGCCTTGCCTTTCCACTCCCTAATTGTCACCCACAGAAATGAGTAATTGCTCTTATAGCTTAACCTTGAGTCCATTGCCAAAATTCAGCATACCTGCCAGCAACTTGAGGAATAAGCTAAGGTTTCCCTATAAGAGGGAAAGAAGGCAAAAAACGGCATAGCTATCTCCCAAACACCTCTGAGTTTGTTTTCAAAGTGACCAAGGGAATCTCCACACAAAAGTGCAGACTGAGGAACTGTGGTGGGTCGTTCCCAAGAATCCCCCAAGGGGCATCCCCAATCCCTAAGGAGTAACAACTGCAAACCTGGTCAGTTCTCAGTGAGAGAGCCAGCTCACTTACAGCTTTGCTGCTAGAACCTGTTGTGGCTGCATTTCCTGGTGGCCAGTGACAACTGTGTAACCAGAATAGCTGCATGGCGCTGACCCTTTGGCCGGAACTTGGTCTCTTGGCTCCCTCTGTTACCGTCCACCACCTCCAGCACAGCCCCTCCTGTTTTTAGACCAATAACAAGAATTAAGGGGGAAGCCCTGGCAGCTATTTATGTTTTCAACGAGACTCCTTTGCTGGGATCCAGTCCACCACCCCGCTTGCCTCTGTGAAGCCTCCCGGCCAATGCAGTGAGCACCATGCAGCTCCCTTGATTTAAAAAAAATACAACAACAACAAAAAAAAACAAAAAAAAAATCTTTTAATGAATGTATCTTTCTAAAGGACTGATGTTCAATCAAATATCTGAAAATACTAAAGGTCAAAACCTTGTCAGATGTTAACTTCTAAGTTTGATTTGAGATTTTTTTAAATAGAAATCAAGTTTTGGTTTTTTGGGTTTTTTGTTTTTTTTTAAAGGAAAAGCGGGTCATTGCAAAGGGCTGGGTGTAATTTTGTGTTTCATTTCCTTCATTTTCAAGCAATACAAGGTTATTGAGCAGATGGTTTTGTGCCGAATCATGAATACCAGTCAAGTCTCACACTCTGAAAACTTGCAACTTTTTTGTTTTGGTTTTCAAATAAGTATAAATATGATATATATAGGAACTAATATAGTAATGCACCATGTAACAAAGCCTAGTTCAGTCCATGGCTTTTAATTCTCTTAACACTATAGATAAGGATTGTGTTACAGTTGCTAGTAGTGGCAGGAAAATGTCAGTCTGGCACTCCTCTGATCCCCTGAAATGGGGGGAACCCAAACCATAAAGGGATGGTAAGACAGTCCCTCCTTAGGATCAGAGGGAGATGCAGAAACGGTGTCACCTGGATTTTTTCTGCCCATGAATGTTGCCAGTCAGTACCTGTACTCCTTGTTTCTCTATTTTTGGTTATGAATGTTGGGGTTACCACCTGCATTTAGGGGAATATTGTGTTCTGTGCTTTCCTGGTATCTTGTTCCGAGGTACTCTAGTTCTGTCTTTCAACCAAGAAAATAGACTTGTGGTGTTTCTTTTATTGAACTTTTAACAATCTCTTTAGTAAATACAGGTAGTTGAATAATTGTTTCAAAAGCTCAACAGATGACAAGCTTCTTTTCTAGAAATAAGACATTTCTTGACAACTTTATCATGTATAACAGATCTTTTGGGTTTTTTTTCCTTGTGTTCTTCCAAGCTTCTGGTTAGAGAAAAAGAGAAAAAAAAAAAAAAAAGGAAAAAATGTGTCTAAAGTCCATCAGTGTTAACTCCCTGTGACAGGGATGAAGGAAAATACTTTAATAGTTCAAAAAATAATAATGCTGAAAGCTCTCTACGAAAGACTGAATGTAAAAGTAAAAAGTGTACATAGTTGTAAAAAAAAAAAAAGGAGTTTTTAAACATGTTTATTTTCTATGCACTTTTTTTTATTTAAGTGATAGTTTAATTAATAAACATGTCAAGTTTATTGCTGCACATGGTTGAGCTCTCTTTTGGCTTTGGCTGGGGTGGAGAAATGGGGGACTGGAGTGGCCTGTGACCTGATTACAAAGTACCTTCCACAGTCCCTTCTTTTAAGGTGGAATCAGTAAATCATTCCTCACTACCTGCCTTCAGGCCCCACGCCACACTGGCTCTCTTATCAGCGATAGGCTTGATGCCTTACTCATCAGTGGTGTATGTTCAGGACAAAAGTAATTCTGGATATGAGGAAGAAGTCAAGAGGATAAAGGAATAGTTCTTTTACCTCCTGTGTATCCCTCCTCCTTTATCCATGGGCGGTCAAGCAGTGGCTTTGAAGGATTTTCTCCCAATCTATGAATATAATAAAATGAAAGCATTTCAGGGAGAACCTGGACCCTCTCTTGCTCCACTCCACCTTAAGGCTGAAATTGGATTTATTTACTCTGTTTCTCCTAGGACTGAGGTGGGCGTGGGGAGGCAGTTGAGAAATATTTATAAAGGTTCTGCCAAGCCAGGGTCCCTAACCCCAGGCCAAAGGGGGTTGAGTTTACACTACAGCCAAAGAATGGAAGACACTCCTCCTCAGGGGGGATGGTCCTCAAACAGAACCGCCTCTAGATCTGCTGGCTGTGAGGCCCAGCCCCCACCCCTCCTTCCTCCCTCTGATCCTGAGTCACCTTTTCGGATTTTGGAGTTGAGCACCATGGGGACTCCAAATGATCAGGCAGTGTTGCAGGCCATATTCAACCCTGACACCCCGTTTGGAGACGTTGTTGGGTTAGACCTAGGAGAGGAAGCACAGAAGGAAGAAGCAGATGAAGGTGAGTATTTGACCTTGGAGTACAGTTCTCCACGTTGGCTGGCTGGTCTGCTGGCCTCCCTGGGGTGGCAAAGGGAGGTGGTCTTACAAGGCCCCTTGTTCCACGACCCTTGGATGATGATTGAGATTGGAATCAGAGAGGCCGGCTGATCCTTAGTGCACTGATGGGGTTTGGCAACAGCCACCGCCAAGAGGAGAAAGCCAGGGTTTGTCTTAATCCTTCAGCCCTCACACCTCTGAACTTACCTCACTACTTAATTCACCCCATGATCCAAGCTTAACTGTGTTTGGGAAGGGGGGATGTTAAACTCTCACATCTTTGTCGTAACAGAGTATATCACCCTACACAGAATGGAAGACAGAAACAGGGCAGGGGGTGGCTCAGCTGAATGATTCCAACTTAAACACGCAGAACCTAAGCAAGCATTCAGTGTCACACACCGTTACAAGCCAAGCACTGAGCTAATTCTTCCACAGAGTGAGTGCATTCATTGGCTTTTCCATCGGTCCCTAATGGGGACTCGTGTCCCCATCAGAAGTTTTTGATGCCCTTTGCTTCTAAAGGAGTGAAGCCTAAGCCTTACTGAAACTTCACGCTAAAAAGCTGAGGGATGTATCGGAAGTGACTTCCTTTTTTTTTTTTTTGTGAGGAAGATCAGCCCTGTGCTAACATCTGCCAATCCTCTTTTTTTTGTTTGTTTTTTTGCTGAGGAAGACTGGCCCTGGGCTAACATCTGTGCCCATCTTCCTCCACTTTATATGGGATGCCACCACAGCATGGCTTGCCAAGCGGTGCGTCAGTGTGCACCCAGGATCTGAACCGGCGAACCCTGGGCCACCGCAGCGGAGCATGTGCACTTAACCACTTGCACCACCCGGCCGGCCCCCAGAAGTGATTTTCATGACCTGGGTACTTCATGGTGGACTTCATGTGGGAGGCAGTGTAGTAGAATAAAATGGGGCAGGCTAAGGAGCCAGAAAGATCTGGGTTCAAATCTAAGCTGTGCAATTTATGGGCTGTGTGACCTGAGCAAGTCACTTAGCTACAGGCTGAGGGGTTTGGGCTTCATTCTCTTGGCAATGGGGAGCCAACCAAGGACCTTTCCCAGGTCCCTTTGGAACTTAGGCAGTGTTAGCTCTCAGCCTTGGTGACCTCAGCTCTCCCTGCCCCAAACACTGCATCAGACTCCTGCTGTGACTCACACTCCAGCCTCATCAGCTCTGGCTCAAGTCCCAGGTTTCCAAAGCCTGAGGTGGCTTTTGCTTCTTGCTCCCAACTGCACACCTGTCCCTTCCTGGCTTCTTCCCTGGCACAGACGGAGTTTTCCCTCGAGCACAGCTGGAGCAGTCCAAGGCCCTGGAGCTGCAGGGGGTGATGGCAGCAGAGGCTGGCGACCTCAGCACAGCCCTGGAGAGGTTTGGCCAAGCCATCAACCTGCTGCCTGAGAGGGCCTCAGCCTACAACAACCGAGCCCAAGCCCTGCGACTCCAGGGAGACGTGGCAGGTGAGAGGAGACGCCCTGGAGCCTCTGCAGAAGGGGCCCTGGAGTGCACAGACGAGAGACAAAGTGGCCATGGGGCTGGGGCATGGGGCCGGGGGGACTCACTAAACCCCTGTGGAACCTATGTTCTGACCTATAAGACATATATGATGGGCCCTGCTAACCTCTTGGGGCTACGGTGAAAGTCAGAAGAGAATGCATTCCATTTATTTACTTAAACATTTACTGAGAACCTACTATTGTAGCAGTGGGCTAGATGTTGAGGACAAAGGATAAAAGATATACTTATAGCAATTACTAAATTAGTATGTGCCGGCACTAAGCACTTTACGTGTAAGATGTAGTAACTCATTTAATCCTTGCAACGACCCTACCAGGTATGTACCATTGTCGTCTCCACTTACAGATGAGGAAACTGAAGATGGGGGTTAAGTAACTTGCTCCTCTCATACAGCTGAGAAGTGGCCAGCTGGGATCTGACCAGTTGGCAGGGCTCCAGAGTGTGTGCTCTTAATCCCCACATGATACTCCTTCACAAAAAGCTCACAGTTGAGGGCGTAGGACAGACACATAATTATGATACCAGCATAAGGAGTTTGAGAGGGCTCAGCCTGGGATCTGTTCCTGAGGGGTGCGTTTTGAAGGATGAGGAGTTAGCAGGATGGAAGGGAGTCAGAGGGAGAAGGCACAGCCTGTAGAGGTCCAGAAGGCACGAACAGGTACAGGGAACTTCAGATCTCCAGGCTGGCTGGAGCAAGGAGTGGTGGAAGGATGGCAAATAGGGGCCAGATGGTGAAGAACTGGGAACGTTGGGCTGAGATGGGACTGTGTCTTGTAAACGTGGGGAATCACTAAAGGGTTTTAACTGGGGAGTGACTGGATCAAACCTGCTGCATGCAGGTTACTCTGGCTGGAGTGGGGACAATGGGACAGAGAAGGTCATGCTGGGGACCAAAGAGCAGGCTGATGTGAAGGTGTAACCACAGAAACCTAGCTGGGAACTACTACACTGTTACCACTCATAGTAGTGGAGGTGCTCCCTGGGCCAGGAATGCCAGACCCAGGAGTTTGGACTCCATTCTAGGAACACTGTAGAGCCCCAAGAGCCCCTTTTCCAGGCTCATCTGCCACCTGGCTCTGGCCAGGCAGGGCCGTGGAGGTCGCTGGCGACAGCCTGCAGACCAAAACCCCAGATCAAAAGTGATTCCGCCTGGATGAGGCTTTCCATTCCTCCAGACCAGCTCCTCCAAAGGAAACCAAGGAACGCTATGATCAGAGGGCTTCTCAACCGTCTGGGTGGGATGGGGAGCATAGCCCCTGCTGGGTTCCAGGGACCAAAACACAGAGAGACAGTACAGGGAGGATCAGCCTTTCTCTAGGATGATGCTGGATCTCCCCAAGCACCCTGACAGCTCTTTAGAGAATACGAGCAAACCGAAGCAGAGCCCAGAAGAAATGCAGCTCGGTGCACCCTACAGTAGATGCCAGCTGGCTGCCTGAGCTTGAGTTCAGAGTTCTGATGAAATCCAAATATTTTACGAGGATGATAAAAATAAAAATGGCTCCAAATGGTCTCTAGCTCCAAGACCTCCTCCAAAGAAAATCAGATACAAAATAATTATCATGGAGATAAAGAATGAGGAAAGACAGGCAGTCAAGAAAACAGGTGAGAGAGAAGCTATTTTAAAGCACACAATGGAAACGAGGAGAGAAAAGCCTTCAAAAGGAAAAGAAAGAGAAACGGATTTTATCGTATTGGTAAGAAATGGTTGTCAGTTCATAATAATTTTTTTTGAGTCTAGGATTCATAATCACCTGCTGCATGGCGGATCCTTAATAACGTATGTGTGGAATAAACTGCCTGCTATATGCCGGGCAACGGGCCAAATTCATGAACATAGTGACCTTGGAAATCCTCCTAGCAACGTTCCGGTTTTGGTGTATTAGATGGTGGAAAATAATAGGGACAAGGTGAAACCTGGACTTTAGTCCCAGCTCTGCCACTAAACTGGCTGTGTAGCCCAGGGCAAGTCTTGCCCACTCTTCTAGTCTTCATCTATGTGATGGGACTAACAATACCTACCTCTAGGATCAAGCGCAGGCGGGGTGTATATGACTGAGCCCCAGGGCCCCAATTCTGACCCCGGATGAGTGCCTGCCGAAGCTCTGACCCCGGCCCGCCCATCCCACAGGCGCCCTGGAGGACCTGGAGCGCGCCCTGGAGCTGAGCCGAGGCCGGGGCCGCGCCGCCCGCCAGGGCTTCGTGCAGCGCGGGCTCTTGGCGCGACTGCAGGGCCGCGACGACGACGCCCGCAGGGACTTCGAGCGGGCGGCGCGGCTGGGCAGCCCCTTCGCGCGGCGCCAGCTGGTGCTGCTCAACCCCTACGCCGCACTGTGCAACCGCATGCTGGCCGACATGATGGCGCAGCTGCGCGGGCCCGCACCCGGCGCCGAGCCGGCCCGCGGGCGACGGGAGGGGGGGGCCGCCAACCAATAAAGCTGCCAGCTCGTACCGAGTCCCGCCTGTGTCTGCGTCCAGCGCCGTCCCCGCAAGCGGAGGGCACTCCGGCGTCCCCTGCGTGGGAGGCCGTCTGCGCGCGCCGGGATGGCGGGGGTGGGGGAGGCCTGGGAGAGGAGCTGCCGCCCACCTGCCCGGGGGGAGGGGCCCGCCGGCCGTGGTCGGGCATTGATTGGCCCTGACTGGCGCAGCCCCGGCCCCTGCGGCGGACTGCGGTGCTCGTCAGACCTGAGCAGTTGCTCCGGCGGCGCTCGGGGAGGGAGCCAGGTGAGCCGCCCGGGAAGGCGGGGCCGGGGCCGGGATGCTTCGCGACCCCCGCCTTTCGGCTCCACCTCCGCGTGAACAACCAGAAGGATGGGAAAGGGGGTGTAGGGCGCGAGATGGCAGGGGGAATGGGGAAGGAGAGAGACGGAGTCGGGAGAAGGACCGACCCTTTGGAGGAGGGGCATGTGTACCCCAGTGTGTGTGTGTGTGTGTGTACGCGCGCGCGCGCGCCTGCTGCATGCTGCACGATTGCTCGTTTTTTTGTATGTGAGGGTGTGTACCTGTTTGTCCCCTGGAGTCGGCGCTCAGTTCCGCGCCCGCAGGGTGTACAGGTACGTGCTGGGTGGGCTTGGCTTTTTGCTTCCTTGCCTTCACCACTGTGGGTCAGTCTACATTTGTGTTTCCGTGCAAAGTTCATTTTTGTTTCTGCAGAGTAAATTCCTGGAGGAATTACTAAGCTTGCCTGTTGTCACCTGGCTAACATCGACGCCCGCCCCCTTCCCTCCGCAGCCTGGGGCCCAGGCCAGGGCCACCATGGTGCTGCCTCCAGGCCCAGCTACCCTCCCGCACACACTGCTGCTCCTGCCAGCCCTTCTGAGCTCAGGTACCCCCCTGTTCATCCCTTGGCCAAGCATTTCCGGGTCAAGTTCCCCCTTTCCGCTCCTTGCTTGCACCTTCGGTTTGGGTACCCACTTCAGGCCCCAGGCACCAGACCTGGGTTCCCCTCACCCACCTACCCAAGGTCTTGCCAGTCCCTGGTGAGAGAACTCAGGTGCTCTGTCTCTTGACCTGCTGCCCCTCTGTAACTGGACCCCTTCCTGGTCAGAGAACAGTACTAACCCATCCCCAGCCGTCCAGAGAACCTCCTGCTGTGTTCCAGGTTGGGGGGAGTTGGAGCCACAAATTGATGGTCAGACCTGGGCCGAGCGGGCACTGCGGGAGAATGAACGCCACGCCTTCACCTGCCAGGTGGCGGGAGGGCCTGGTACCCCCCGATTGGCCTGGTACCTGGATGGACAGCTGCAGGAGTCCAGCACCTCCAGACTGCTCAGCGTGGACGGGGAGGCCTTCTCTGGAGGCACCAGCACCTTCACTGTCACTGCCCAGCGGGCCCAGCATGAGCTCAACTGCTCCCTGCAGGACCCGGGCAGGGGCCGGTCAGCCAACGCCTCCGTCATCCTCAATGTGCAATGTGAGTGCCCCTCAGGTGGACAGGGAGAGGCCCCGGGGGCCACCAGGCAGGTGGTCCCATAGGACATTTAACAAACACTTAAGCACTTTGCAAATATTAACTCACTTTATCCTCACAATAACCCTATGAGGTAATTAGTATTGTTATCTGCATTTTACAAACGAGAAAACTTAGGTACAGAGTGGTTAAGCAAACTGCCCGAGGTCATACAGCTGGTAAGTAGCAGAGCCAGGATTCAAATCGGGTTATTTTGGCCCTAGTGTTTATACTCTTAATCATGACGAAATGCTGGCTCCCTGGCAGACCCAGCCATCCTGCTTCCCAGTGCCCCCTCAAGGAGAGGTCCAGGCCCCTGGCTCCCTTCTGGGTTTGGGAGGAAAGAGCAAGGAGTTGAGGGGCTGTGGTGAGAGCACATTGGTCTCTGCTTTGCACCAGTTAAGCCGGAGATTGCCCAGGTCGGGGCCAAGTACCAGGAAGCTCAGGGCCCGGGCCTCCTGGTTGTCCTTTTTGCCCTGGTGCGTGCCAACCCACCTGCCAATGTGACCTGGATCGACCAGGATGGGCCAGTGACTGTCAACACCTCCGACTTCCTGGTGTTGGATGCGCAGAACTACCCCTGGCTCACCAACCACACTGTGCAGCTGCAGCTCCACAGCCTGGCGCACAACCTCTCTGTGGTAGCCACCAACGACGTGGGTGTCACCAGTGCCTCGCTTCCGGGCCCAGGTGAGCACTGGCAGCAATGGCCCAGCAAAGCCTGAGGTGGGTATGGGATCTCTGTACGGAAATGGGAGACTTGGTGCCCTTGAGTGAGTCTTGTTAATGAGCTGACCCAGCCACCTGGGCAAGGATGACAGAGTCCTACCTGTGGCATCTCCGAGTTGGGGGCCCTGCCCACTTGGAACCTAACCAGAGGACAACCTACAGGGCTCCTGGCCACCCGGGTGGAAGTGCCACTGCTGGGCATCGTTGTGGCTGGAGGGCTTGCCCTGGGCACCCTGGTGGGATTCAGCACCTTGGTGGCTTGCCTGGTCTGCAGGAAAGAGAAGAAGACCAAAGGTAGGCCAAAACGGTGGAGGGCTGAGGGTGAGGGAGATGAGGTTGGGGTGAGCAGCAAAGGCTGTGAGTGGAGCTGGGCAGAACAAGTGGTCTCTGACAAGTGACAGAACAGGTCTTCCCAGGAATGGCCATGGGTAAGACCACATGCATCCCAGGGCGCAGGGCCTGGTCCCAGAGCCAGGGCTGGGCTTTTGAGAGACCCCTGGCCTGAGGGTCCTGGGTCTGAAAGGGCACAGGGGCAGAGCCCAGAGTGGGTGGTACATTGAAACCGGTGACGTGGTTTCTTTCTCCTCAGGCCCTTCCCGGCGCCCATCTCTGATCTCTAGGTAACTCTTCCTGGGTCTGGGTGGATGGGCTGAACTGATATGAGCATGGAGACAGTTGGAAACCTGGGGTTTCTGGTTGTTCTGGAACGGGCCGCAAAGCAGGAATCTGTGCCTGCTGGAGCCAGGGCGTATCCCAGGCTTTTTCTGCCCTGTAGTGACTCCAACAACCTGAAACTCAACAATGTGCGCCTACCACGGGAGAACATGTCCCTCCCCTCCAACCTGCAGCTCAATGACCTCACTCCAGACACCAGAGGTACATCCAGACCCTCTGTTTGCTTCTGCATTATCTTCGGAGGTGCTTCTGAAAAAAGACAGACCCTGGTACTTAGGAGGGGCTGGGCCCCATCAGGCATACTCCTTGTCCTGGGCACCACGCACTTTGTCACCCAACAGGAAAACCAGCAGACGGCCAGATGGCTCAGAACAACAGCCGACCAGAGCTTTTGGACCCAGAGCCTGGTGGCCTCCTCACCAGCCGAGGTACTGGGAAAGGGGCCTGCTGCCCTCCTCCTCTGCTCCCCAGCCTTTTGCTTATGCAAAAGGCCTCTGAGTCCCTGGGGCGGAGAAAGGTCTCCCAACTTCCAAGGAATGAAGGTTACTGAGACTCTTGGGCATCTTTGACCCTGCAGGTTTCATCCGTCTCCCAATGCTGAGCTACATCTATCGAGTGTCCAGTGTGAGCAGTGATGAGATCTGGCTCTGAGCTGAGGGCGAGATGAGGGTACTCTCTTGGCCCCTGGGCCTCTCCTCCTTCTCCTCCAAGACATCCCCTGTCTGGCCACGTTGTCAACGTGAAGAGGTCATGCCACTGCCACTTTTACCTGCCCTCCTGGCTGGAGTGGCCTCTGTGTCATCCACATGATGCGTTTCACTGGGATCTGACCCTCAGGGGGACAGGTATCCTTGGCAAGGCTGCCAGCTGGCTCTAAGCCCCTTGTTCTCAGGTTGGGGGCTTGCATGTCATGCCTGTGTCCAGACAGATGGAGCTCTTTGTCCAGAGGTCATCCAGCATCTAAGTGTGGCATGGCCCTGTTGGCTTGGACCCACTCTGTGCCCCACACCAGTATCCTTTGCACCGTGTACAGCGGGCATGGGGGCATGCCTGGTTGGGGGACAGAGGGCCCTGCACGTCTTGGATTTCCTTCCCATGCTATGCTGCTTTGTTCCTTCAGGGAAAATTTAGGACCCTGCTGGCTGTATAGAACCAAACTGCCCTTTGCATAGGAACCAACCCCTGGCTCAGGGGCATTGGCCAAGCACAAACTAGTCCCTTTTGCTGCATACCTCTCTGCCCTTCTCTGTCCCCTCTGCCCCGCCTCCGCTTGGGCATCATAGGTTACACACTGGACCGTCTCCACTTCTTCACCTGGCACTAGACTTCCCCACTGGCCTGGCCCCTGGAGTTGCCAGCGCCTGGTGTTAGCACAAGTCAGGAAGAAAAGAGGGAGGTGAGAAGTCCAGTGGCATCCAGGACAGCATGTGGCTATTTTCTTACAGTGTTATTTTCTTACAGTGTTAGCACTTTAAGCACATCCCCTGGGGAGGGGGTGAGTGAGGGCCTCAGGGCCCGCTGTGTGGCTTCCCCAAGTCTGGCCTTCCTCTGATTCACTGTGAGTGCCCTGAGCCCTCGGGGTTGACAGTTTCCCTCTCAATATGTCTCCCCCACGATGGGACCCCACCCCTAACCATCCCCTGACTGCCCATAAGCAGAAAGCCGCTCTGCGTGTCCTACCCTCTGTTCTTTAGGGGACGGTCATAGTGGCACATAATTCATCAATGCCAGAAGCTTTAGGGGGACATGGAGGAAGAGGGAGACCACATACCCCCAAACAACCTAAGAACTCTTTGAAAAACAACGTGGAAATGATTGCAAATTAATATAGTGCAGAGTATATTTTTCCCTTGTTGATATCTTGTTTTGTAATTTTTATCATGTTTCTGCCTAGGACAGTGCTGAGCACACAATCAATTCAATAAACTTGACAGTGAATGTTACATGTCTGCTTCACTTCTTCGAATATTTTTTTTTTTGGTGAGGAAGATCGGCCCTGAGCTAACATCTGCCAATCCTTCCTCTTTTTTTTTTTTTTTTTTGGTTGTTGATGAAGACTGGCCCTGGGCTAACATCCGTGCCCATCTTCCTCCACTTTATATGGGACGCCGTCGCAGCATGGCTTGACGAGCAGTGTGTCAGTGTGCGCCTGGGATCCGAACCTGTGAACCCCAGGCCGCCGCAGCAGAGCGCGCACACTTAACCTCTTGTGCCACCAGGCTGGCCCCTGAATATGGTTTTTAAATGAAATCTTTAAATCACACAGTAGAGCAAGTATAGCAAACACCTGCATGCCCACCACTCAAGTCTTTTGAATCTTAACATTTTACCTTATTTGCTTCAGATCTTTTATTTTTAAAAATAAATAATATTGGGGCCGGCCTGGTGGCACAAGCTGTTAAGTGCGCGCGCTCTGCTGCGGTGGCCTGGGGTTCGCAGGTTCGGATCCCCGGCGTGCACCGACGTATTGCTTGTTAAGCCATGCTGTGGCGGCGTCCCATATAAAGTGGAGGAAGATGGCCACGGTTGTTAGCTCAGGACCCATCTTCCTCAAGAAAAAAGGGGAGGATTGGCATCAGATGTTAGCTCAGGGTTAGTCCTCCTCACACACACACACAAAAAAATAAATAAATAAATAATATTTCTTTATTACACTGTTCCCAGTGGCAGGGATGACACTTCCTATTTCAGGAGTGCTGGGGGAGGGAGCATAGCTGTACCCAGCGTCTGAGTCTCACTTGGTCTATACCACTTGGGAGACTCTCCCCCTCTCAAGATTGGCTAAGCCATGCTGGGCCCCTTGCCCTGAGTCGGGGTACAGAAGGCTCAGGCTACGCTGTGATTTTCCAAAAAAATTTTCTGGGGGATCATGAGGGAGAAAAAGAAATGGGATAAGTTTCTTGAGGGCAGATTTATATTCCACCTTTTTTTAGCAACAGATGGGCTTGGCTTGCATAGAGCTGGGTTTTTCAGCCACGTCCTTTCCTCACCTCTCTCGTTCAGTATTTTCCTCCATGGGAGTGGCTAAGGCTGCCCCTGTCTCCTGGGAGGAACTTAGTTCTGGCCTCTACTGATTTTGCATGTAAGCTCTTTCATGGCTGCAGAACTTTAGAAGCCTGGGTGCCTCGCCGTCAGTTCTGATGACTCTCGTCCACTGTGCCCTTTCAGAGCTCCTGGAGCCCCTTCCTGATGGTTCTTTGGCAAGGCTACAAGCGCTGTGCTCCTCTCAGCTGCACTCAAGGTCTTACTTTAGCAGAAAGGTTTGCTCTTCCTGGGAAGTATCCCATTCTTGCAGATGTTTGCTAAGGGGTGGACTTTCAAACTAGTGTGCCAATTCTCCATACACATCCCTTAGATCAGAGACTCCTTGTTCCCTTGTTGAGTCACAGACTCCTTGGAGCATGTGATGAAAGTTAAAAACTTGTGAGAAAGTGCAGATGAAGAAACCCCTGCTCATTATGCAAATCAAAGCCCATCAAATTAGAACATGGATGAACCTTGAAAACATGCTAAATGAAAGAAGCTAAATCCAAAAGACCACATATATGACTCCATTTATATGAAATGTCCAGAATAGGCAAATCTACAGAGATTGTAGGTTAGTGGTTGCCGGGGACCGGGGGGGAGGGAAGAGTGGGGAATGACGAATAATGAATATGGGATTTCTTTTTGCGTTTCAAAAGTGTTCTGGAATTAGTGGTAATCAACGCACAACTTTATGAATAGACAAAACCCATTGAATTGCACACTTTACAAGGGTAAACTTTATATGAATTATATCTCAATAAAGCTCTAGTTTAAAAAATCATAAATGGTAATTTGATTTGTACATTTCACTGTATATAAGTTTCACCTGACAAAAGAAGCATAAATAAATGTTGAACTGCAGTTAATTATATGCATGCTAAAGTGTTTAGGGATGAAGTACGTTGATGTCTGCAACTTACTTTGAGATGTATCAAAAAACAAGATGGATTGATGAATGGGTAGAGGAATGGATATATGAGAAAGCAAATTTAACAAAATGTTAATTGTAGGATTTAGCTGATGGGTATATAGGGTTCACTGTACAATTCTTCCAAAATTATTTTATTTGACAATTTTCATAATAAAATATTGGGAGGGGATCCCTGATCTAGTTCCTTCTCTAATAGGTCTGAAATCTTTTTGGTCTTTCTAAGGATCATGGAATTTTCAAGCATTACTAATGCCCCTGACATGACAGTTCTCTTTTCTGGGAAAGAACATCAATTTTTAACACTTCAGTCACCTAATCTTTTTTTTTTTTTTTTTTTAAAGATTTTATTTATTCATTTTTTCCCCCCAAAGCCCCAGTAGATAGTTGTATGTCATAGGTTCACATCCTTCTAGTTGCTGTACCTGGGACTCGGCCTCGCGTTGGACGGAGAAGTGGTGCCTCGGGGCGCGCCCGGGATCCGAACCCGGGCCGCCAGCATCAAAGCGCGCGCACTCAACTGCTAAGCCACGGAGCCGGCCCAAGTCACCTAATCTTTAATCTTGACCCTCCAATGAAGATTGGAGGCGGGTGGCTTGTTCCTTCGAGCTTGAATGTACAGCAGTCCAACATTTGGGTAGGCACAACTCAGGTTGCATTTTTCCACCTAGACTATGCTTTACTGAATTCCTCCAGACACAATAGACTGTTTAATAAGGACTTGTAAAAACTGATGTTCAACTTTGTGCATTGCTGCTGGGAATGTAAAATGGTGCAGCCACTGTGGAAGACAGTTGGCAGTTCCTCAAAAAGTTAAACATAGAATGACCATGTGATCCAGCAATTCCACTTCTGGGTTTATTCCCCAAAGAATTGAAAGCAGGGACTCAAACAGTTATTTGTACATCAATATTAAGAGCAGCATTATTTGCAATAGCCAAAAGGTACAAACAACCCAAATGCCCATTAACAGGTAAATGGATAAAGAAAATGTGGTATATATATGCAGTGGAATACTATTCAGCCTTTTAAAAAGGAAGGAAATTCTGACACATGCTACAACATGGATGAACCTTGACAGCATTATGCTAAGTGAAATAAACCAGATACAAAAGAACAAATTTTTTATGATTCCACTTATGTGGTACCTAGAATAGGAAAAATCATAGAGACAGAAAATGGAAGTTACTAGGAGAGGTGAGGACAAGAGTTATTTTTTAATGAGTACACAGTTTCAATTTGGGATGATGAAAAAGTTCTGAAGCTGGATAATGGTGATGGTTGCATAACAATGAATATGCTTAATGCCACTGAATTGTACACTTAAAAATGGTAAATTTCATGTTATGTAAAATATAATTTTTTATTTTTTAATTTTAATTACTGATTCAATCTCTTTACTAATTATAGGTCTTTCAAATTTTCTACTTCTTCTTGGTAGGTTTTGTGTTTCTAGGAATTTGCCCATTTCATCTAGGTTATCTAATTTGTTGGCATACAATCGTTCCTAGTACTCTCTCATCCTTTTTATTTCTGTAGAATTGGTAGTGATGTCCTCACTTTCATTTCTGATTTTCGTCATTTTAATTTTCTCTTTTTTTTCTTAGACAATTTGGCTAAATGCTTTTCAATTTTGTTAATCTTTTCAAAGACCCAACTTTTGGTTTTGTTGATTTTCTCTCTTGTTTTTCTATTCTCTATTTCATTTATCTCTGCTCTAATCTTTATCATTTCCTTCCTTTGGCTAGCTTTGGGTTTAGCTTGTTCTTCTTTTTCAAGTTTATCAGGTTGTAAAGTTAGATTGTTTACTTGAGATCTTTCTTCTTTTTTAATGTAAGCATTTACAGCTATAAATTTCCCTCTGAGCATCAGTTTGCTGTATCCCATAAGTTTTGGTATGCTGTGTGTTCGTTTTCATTTATCTCCAAGCATCTTCTAACTTCCTTTGTGATTTCTTCTATGACCCATTGGTTAAGAGTGTATGGTTTAATTTCCACAAATTTTGGATTTTCCAGTTTTCCTTCTGTTATTGATTTCTAACTTCATTCTGTTGTGATCTGAGAAGATACTTTGTATGATATCTATCTTTTTAAATCTATTGAGACTTCATTTGTGACAATATATGTTCTATCCTGGAGAATGCCCCATGTGCACTTGAGAAGAATATGCATGCTGTTGTGATTGCGTAGAGTGTTCTGTTTATGTCTGTTAGATCTAGTTGGTTTATTGTGCTATTCAAGTCCTCTATTTCCTCACTTATCTTCTGTCTGGTTGTTCTATTCATTATTTATAGTGGGGTATTGATGTGTCCAGCTTTTATTGTAGAACTGTTTCTCCCTTAAATTCTGTCAGCATTTGCTTTATATATTCTGAGGGTCTGTTATTAGGTGTGTAAATGTTTATAATCATTATATCTTCTTGCTGTATTGCATGTTCTTTTCGTAAATCTCCTATTCTTTTTTTCCCTCCCAGGAGGCAGAAACATGGGTGTTAATTTAAATAGAACTATGCATTCTATGTACTCTTCTGTATGTCTAATACATTTTACAATATTTCTAAATAGGCTTAAATGCCCATGAAACTATGTGTGTGGCCAGGCCTGGGGTTTGGGGAGGGGTGGAGTAGGAAAGACTTTTAGTATTGTTTGGCTATTTAAACCACATGCATGGATTACTTTGATAAAATAGAACTTCTGTGCTAGACACTGGGCATACAAAGATGTTTAAGTGGAGGCTCTTGCCTTTGAGTATTTCTGAATCTGGCAAAAGCCCAGTATAGATGATTGATGACCATACAAGCTGATTAGAGTTGTCAAGTACCTCTATGCAGAGGGCTTTAGGATTACAAAAGAGGGAGAAATCGCTTTTTTTAGTCAAAAGGCAGTGAGTGGAGAGGGTAGGTACAGGGGAAGACAGTCTGTAAGTCAGGCCTTGAAGGAGGAGTAGGAAAGTAAAACAAAAGCTAAGAAAGGGCATCTCAGGAGGGGGCAATGCAATGAGCAAGGGCAGAGAAGCATGAAAGAAAGTGCAGGCAAGCGAACTGGAGTGGATCAGGGACGTGCGGGTTGCACACTGCACCACCTCCAAGGGGTGGCATTCATAGCGTTGTGCAGTGTGTAACCCACACAATCATCCACAGCAATCTGGTTGAAGGGAGTGATAGGGCTCATAAAGGAAGGAAGAGGAAGCCAAAAGTACAAGGTTATTAAGTGAGAAATGGAAAACGGAACGTGAAATGAAAAAGACTATTTTTAAACCCTAAACATTATTCAATAGGCTAATGTTGACATATTATATTCAAATTATTTGTCATTTCGGGCCGGCCCCGTGGCTTAGCGGTTAAGTGCTCGCACTCCGCTGCTGGTGGCCCGGGTTCGGATCCCAGGCACGCACCGACGCACCGCTTCTCTGGCCATGCTGTGGCCGCGTCCCATGTACAGCAACTAGAAGGATGTGCATCTATGACATACAACTATCCACTGGGGCTTTGGGGGAAAAAAATAAATAAATAAATAAATAAATAAAGAAAGAAAATTATTTGTCATTTCAATATGAAATTGAAAAACCACATCAACCATCTGTACTCAATGAGGGACAATAGCATGTGCCTTTATAATGGCAGGGGACAAACATAAATAAAGCTTTAAATTGGTGTATTTTGCATTAATACCATTCCTCAAGGACTTGAGAATGTAGAAAAGAATTCGACCAAGATCACTGTGTCATCTTTGGATACTTCTTTATTAGAAAAGAAATTAACATTCACACTAGAGACGGCAGAAGGAAATTAATCTTGCAATGCTAACACAGACTTCACAGTAAGGGATTTTTAAGTTTTCAGAGAGTAGCGGAAAAAATGAGAAAGAAAATCATTTAGGACAGTGTTTCTCAAATTTTGCTACTTTCACAGACATTCATGGGGGAGGGAGTTGCAAGTTTTCTATGATAATGTTTTAAATTTTATGTTTTAGTAAGTCTCCTTATTTCATGGATATGGAATTTTCTCATCTCTCTGTGAAAGTTGTTCTCAAACTTATCTGCATATTGAAATAATCTGAGGAGCTTAAAAAAATATGGGTCCTGTATGCTACCTCCAGAGGTTGTGATTTAACTAGTCTGGTGTATTGTCTGGGAGAGGAAACTTTTCTTTACAAGATCTCCAGTTGATTCTAATGTGCAACCAAGTTTGAGAACTACTGCTTTATGAATATTATAGTTAAAAATTTTTTTTCTTATCTTGTCTACTTTGTTTCTCTGATTTCCTTTGTTCTGTCAGTTTTAGTCTCTATTTTTCTGGCTTTCTTCAAATGTCCAGTGGTCTCTGACTATACATTCATAAGAATGAAAGCTGTAAACATGCCTGCGCGCGCACACACACACACACACACACACACACACGAATGACACCAGAAAGCTGACTGGAAGTAGGTGGGCAGGTAGGGACCTGTACATTTGCTTCAAGCCCCCCTGTCAGTATCTGTAGGGCTTTTCTCTTTGGCTGATCAGTTTCCCGAGAGAGGACTCTTCCAAAATTCTGCTCTGAAGATATAAGCCTGGAAGAGGGCTGAAGGTCTCATTGCTCATTCCTCTATTTCATCCTCTTATTTTAAGTATGGCCCCTTTTCCATGTTCTCATAATTGCTCAGTTCTCACGTCCAGAGCCTCCTTGGCTCAGCAGGTAAGGAGGTGGGCAGCACAGATGGGGAAGGTTGTGAGGATCTCATCCTTCTACAAACCTTTAACCAACCCTCCTGTTTTCAGCACCACCCTGCACACATGCCATCAGAAATATCTGACACTCTCAATTCCTGATCTTTTCCAGGGTTCTGCAGTGTCAAATAGCTTACTTTGTGTTGGTTTCTCTGTCCCTCTCCTCCATAGGCAGTCAAATTTCAGGTCTTCTTCCCCCTCCCCGACTAATCAGTTACTCGTCCATCTTCCAAAATTGTGTTGCTATCTAGTCTACCATCATTTTCTTTCCTATTATCTGTACTTGCTGATTTATATCTTTTTATTCCTGTCCAGTCATTTTAGTAAGGTTAAAGGAGGGAATGAAGATATAAATACTTGTATTTAATTTTTTTCTACTTAGAAGTGCTGAGAGCCTAGGATCAGCAAAGGTGAGGGACACTTCAAGCCAAGAAAAACCTTCATAAAGGTTTAGTTAGAAGAGGGAACTCAGGAGTCCCACGTAGAGCATGGCAAGCAGATTGGTTTTGCAGTTCACATTGGGGAATTATGGAAAATGAGGATCTCAGGGTTGGGAGAGAGTTGCCAAATGGAAAGTCTAAAAGGTCAAGTTGAAAATTTATACTTAGTAAGATAATTATTATATCTCACATTTTGTGGCACTTAATCTTTTCACATATTTTTACCCACAGGACAAGACTAAGAGTTAAGTTAGTGTTTATTATAACTGTTTCATCTATGCCTAGATTAACTGAGGCATAGAAGTTAACTGCTTTTTCCCAGGGCCACAGAGCAAGTAGCCAAAAGGGAGTAACTACAGATTGTTGAAGAGGAGAGGAGCCCGTGATGAAAAGTGTCTGAAGATGATCACAGGAGAGCAATGGTGGATATGCTGGAGTAGGGAGATAAACGAAAAGGCCCATGCATGAACCAGTAACTTAGTCAGGAAGTACAGTTGATCCTCATTATTTGGCAATCCGCTTTTGTGAATTCATGTACCTGCTATAATTTATTTGTAATCCCCAAATCAATATTTGCAGTGTTTTCATGATCATTTGCAGACATGCTCAAAACAGTGAAAACCTTGAGTTGCCCAATGCCTATCTTCCCAGCTGAGGCTGAATAAGGCTTCATTCTGCCTTCTGGTTTCAGCTTTCGTGCTGTAAACAAGTGCCCTTTTCATGGTCTACTTAGTGCCACATCCTTTGCTTGCTGGTGGTGATTCTGCTGTTTAAAATGGCCCCTAATCATAGTGCTGAAGTGCCATCAAGTGTTCCTAAGTGTAATTAGCCTGTGATGTGCCCTATGGAGAGAGTGTGTAGACAAGCTTCCTTATGGCATGATTTATAGTGCTGGTGGCTATGAGTTCAATGAATCAATGGTTGTTTGACAAAAATATTATGACCAGGGCACACAGGAACCTAACCTTGTATTTCCTCTAGGAGCAATGGTTCAGTATTTGCTAACTCAGTGTTTGTGGTGACATGATAGGACATAACTACCATGAGGAACAAGAATCAACTGTATTTATTAGTGTTGAGTCTCAGCTCTAGCCAAAGAAGGCAATCCAATTGTTCCCTGAAAATCTAACGGAGAATTTGAGTTCCTATCACATTTTGCCTCTCTTTTTCCCGAGTTAAATGTGAGCATTGATGGTATCCATTTGAGAGCAGAGCACCTGGTCCCAATATGGTGTCAAAGCGAGGCCAGAGCTCAAATGTTCCTGCTCCTAAAATTCAAGCATGTTGTGAACATCATAGTTGGGTTGAGTCTGTAAGAAACAATTCCCCTCCTGTCTATGTGATCATTGTGTATATATTGGGCTGATAGTGTAGCATTTTAATGTAATCTCCCCCTCCAATCAATTATTGCCCCATTTTCCCCCCATATCAGTACTTGGCTCCATTATCCATTCAGTTGCTCAAGCCAAAAGACCTGGGCATCATCCTTGATTTCTTTCCTTCCACCCCCAACATCCAATTGATCACCAAGATCTGTTGGTTCTATTTCTACTGGTTATTTATCTGTTGTCTCTCAGCCCCACACCCTCCCTTCTATACTTTCCTTTAAACTGCTGGATTTTCCAGATTCCCTTACTAGCTGTTCATTTCTGCCAGTGGGAGGCACGGGCAGGATCTGAGAAGGTGGGAGACAGGAAGCGGCAGGCATTGCTTGCAGTTGCTGTAGCAGTGAGGGTGAGGGTCTGCGGATTTCAGCAGTGCCTCAGTGTGGCACCTCCTCAGCCATTCAAGACCACAGTAGCCTCTTCTGCTTCCAGCATCCGCAGTGGATACCACCCCTTTAACCTTCATTCTTTCACACCCTCCATTCTCCCCTTTGTTCCTTCAGCCCTTCCAACATGTTTGTAACCAATTTCCCATATTTAACACCCTGTGTTAGAAATAACTAGCATGGTTTCTGACTTCCTGACTGGAGCTTGGCTGATAAAACCTCCAAAATATTTCCTGAATCTGTCCATCTCTACTACTACCACCACTACCACCCTAATCCAAGGCACATTCATCTCTCACCTGGATTACTGCCATAGCTAGGCTCCCCGAGACCACAACCAGACAGGTCTGGGGCTAGACAGGCAGGGATCCTGAAAGGCAGGCAGCATTAACTGGGCAGAGACCCCTAGAGAAATGAAGTTCCAGGAGAAAAATGATTCCCCTCTACTGCCAGCCTTGGAGGACTGGGGTTTGATTTTATTTCACAAAGTTGGTTTGCTTAAAATGCTACTCACTTAATGCCTATTACTAGGCCAAGTTCCTGGTCTCTGCCTTATGCTCAGTCTGCCTTTTCTCTTTCATATTATAGAACAGCAGGATAACCTAAAAGAGCATTTTATTTGTAAAATCTTTGCCAACTAACTTTAAGAGTGAAAGAAAATAATTTCATCGCTATCTCAAAAAGAACATCTTTTAAGCTTTCCTCTCCACTGGAGCATCCTGGGATCCCAGATTCCAATTCTTCTAACTCAAATTTCCACCGTGGTGGAGATGCATAATTCTCATGGGAAGGAAACCTGAGACAGGCAGAAGCCACTTAAGGAACCCGTGCAGTGCTTCCTGGCAGAGAGGGGAGTGGGACTGTCCGAGTCAAGCTGTGATGCAGGCAAGGATGCAGGGGGCTGATAACACTCTCTCCTTCTCAGCTAGGGTAGAGGAGCCAGCTCATCCTTGAAACAGTGACCTGGGAGGTGTCTCAGCTGAAGGCTAATGTCTCTGCATCTCCAGCTTGGGAGGTGGCGTTGGAGGGAGGGGTGAATGCTTTCTTGCCTTCAGCTAGAGCTTTAAAATGCTGTGAAGAAAGAGGAGAGGAAACATAGGATATTTGGGATATGCTAGTGGCTACATTTGAGCAAGAATTAACCTCTTTAAGCTCCGATTTTCTCCCAATACTACTTCCAAAATAATTCCTTGGTGTTGTCTTTGAAACACAGCTAGAAATTTGTCCCACCTCCTTCAATAATGAACCCTTTTCCTTCTTGCCTGCCTCCATTCATTAGGCCACTTGGTTCTCCTGTAAGAAGGAGTGTCCTCTGTAGACCTTACCTAGCCTCATCTAAGTCCCACAGCTCTTCTACTTCTCCCTCCTTTAAAAGCCCCACTCCTGCCTGCCTTGCTGCTCTCTTAATTACGGGGAAGGTAATGGTAACTCCGGGCAGAGACATCCTCCACTGTCACAGGACACAATCACAGCAGACTCAGGATGGCAGAGACTCAGGGATGCTCACTTAAGTCAGGATCTAATGCTGGTCTTACCTGTGAGTTCTTGAATTCTGAGTAGAGGGAAAAGAGCAGGTGGAGGGACTGAATCCGACTCTTGTAGACAGGGATGTCTAGGATGGCTGAAATCAAGAACTCCCATGAGCAGAACCAAACAGAAATCTGGGAATTATGGGGAATCTCTGCTTAGGAGAGCCAATCCCCTCCCAGATGGGATGTGTTACTATGACTTTGGGGGTTAAATACCCAGCAGGTAGTCACATAAGCCCAAATACCATCCCTGAGTGCTGCCAAATAGCACTACAGGCTTAAAGTGAAGGCTGTAACTCAAGATGCTATCTTCCCAGAGTAAATGAGCCTTTTAAAAAGACCACAATGTGTTTATCCAGAGATGGCAACACGGAAGGGATGGGAGAGCTTACCACAGATCATGTCAATGTACTCTGCCAGGCTGCAATCAACCTCTGCCGTGGGCAGGCTCACCTAGGAGGAGCACAGGATGGACCAAAGTCAAAAGGCTGAAGTTTCAGTGTCCCAGCACCACTTTCTCTCTCTCTGAAGGAAAAGAGCTCCTAGCTTAAGGTGTATTATGGGCTGAATTGTGTTCCCCCAAAATTCATATGTTGAAGTCCTAACCCCTAGTACCTCAGAAAATGACTGTATTTGGAGATAACGGTCTTAAAAAAGATAATTAAGTTAAAATGAGGTCATTAGGGTGAACCCTAATTCAGTATGACTAGTGTCCTTATAAGAAGAGGAAATTAGGACACAGACACATACAGAGGGAAGACCATGTGAATATATAGGGAGAAAATGGCCAAGGAGAAAGGCCTCGGAAAAAATCAACTCTGCCAATACCTTGATCTCAGACTTCCAGCCTCTACAACTGTGAGAAAATTTCTGTTATTTAAGCCACCCTGTCTGTGGCACTTTGTTTTGGAACCCATACCAAACAATACAACATGCTTATTTTTTTCTCTGATCAGTAAAATGGAGTTTGTCATACTCATTAATCACCAAAGTAGCAGATGATCTAACAGGACCAAAAGCTTTTATAAGTGAAATATACTGCCATGCTGTCTTACTGCGTATTTCTGTGAAGAAGAAACTGGCCCCAAGTTACGGCCAAGTATTTACAGTTACTTGGTGTTATAATGCCTAATGGTCCTAGGACACCACAGGTACAGAAAAAATGGACATAACATCTCAGGCGACAGGCTCTGGATCTAAACAAGTCATATTTAAGTTTAAAAACCATTGGGTTCTTAAAAAATTTTTGTTTTCTTTTTACAAAAATTAGAAGGTATATAGTTCTGCAATTTCCTTTTTTTTCACTTAAGAACATGTCATTGCTATTTCTCTGTATCAGAGCAAAATAAGGCCAAATAATATTCCATCGTATAAAGATTTCACTGAATGGATGTACTACAATCTATCTATTCAATTCCCTAACCACACATTTTTCCTCAGCTACCTCAGCTGCCTTGCTTTAAAATGCTGTGAGGGGGGGCCGGCCCGGCCCAGTGGCGCAAGCGGTTAAGTGCGCGCGCTCCGCTGCGGTGGCCCGGGGTTCGCTGGTTCGGATCCCGGGCGCTCACCGACGCACTGCTTAGCAGGCCATGCTGTGGCGGCGTCCCATATAAAGTGGAGAAAGATGGGCACAGATGTTAGCCCAGGGCCGTCTTCCTCAACAAAAAAAGAGGAGGATTGGCGGATGTTAGCACAGGGCTGATCTCCTCACAAAAAAAAAATAAATAAATAAAATGCTGTGAGGAAAGATTGTTTTCAAATTCTTTGCTTTTACAACAATTCCTCAATAAACGTACAAAAACCCTCTGTCTTCATGAGGTTTATATTTTAGTAGGGAGAAACAAAAAACAAAATAAGTAAGGTATGCAGTACGTTAGAAAGTAAGATTATGCAGAAAAAGCAGGCAAAGAGGGTAGGGAACATGGGCGGCTGGTGTGGCAATTTTAAACATGACGGCCAGGAAGGACCTGTTAATCATCTTTGCTCAGTTTTCTCTTCTTGATATGTAAGAGCTCTTTGCTTGGGTAGTAATATTGTCATAAATATATATTTAAATAATTTTTCTCAGTCCATCACTCTTTTAACTTTGCTTATGGTAACTATTGGTACTTCAAACTTTTTATTTCTATGACTCTAAACTGTTACATTTTCCCCATTATTACTGTTAAGTTTCTTTTTTTTTTTTAAATAATTTTATTTATTTAATTTTCCCCCCAAAGCCCCAGTAGATAGTTGTACGCCATAGTTGCACATCCTTCTAGTTGTCGTATGTGGGACACGGCCTCAGCATGGCTGCAGAAGCGGTGCGTCGGTGCGCACCCGGGATCTGAACCCGGGCCGCCAGCAGCGGAGCGTGCACTTAACCGCTAAGCCACGGGGCCAGCCCTAAGTTTCTTATTATGCTAAAAAACACCTAACCATCCTAACAGTATTAAATATTTCTCCTACTTTTTAAAAATAGTACTTGTATAGCTTTATTTTTACATTAACTGTTTAATTTATTCGGAATTCATGTATGCACATGGTTGAGATACAGGCCTAATTTAATTTTTTTCAAATGGCTAGTCAATTGTCTCATTTCACAACCCATTCTATCTCCAATCATCTAAAACACTACCTTTCTTTTTTGTTGTTGTTGTTGTTGTTTCTTTTTTGTATCACTACCTTTCTTATACATCAAATTCCCACATATTCATGGGTTTGTTTCTGGATTATTATGTGCTGCTGATCTATTTCTATTCCTATGCCAGTACATTATTGTTTTATTTACTATAGCTTTATAATGTGTTTCTAATGTCTGATAGGGCAAATCCTCCGTTATTTTTTCCCTAAAATTTTCATGATTAGTCTTAAAAATTGATTCTCTCAGATAAACTTCATTACGAAATTTTTAATTTCTAAAAAATGCAGTTAAAATCCTAATCAAAACAGCCTTACACTTACATAGTAAACAACTGGAGAGGACTGACAGTGCTACAAGGTTGAATCGTCCCCTCTAGGAACATGGCTTGACTCCTCATTCATTCAAATCATGTGTCATGCCCTTCATTAAAGTTTTTTTTTTTTTTTTTAACAATTTAGTCACTACTGACCTTAAATAGTTTTTTGTTTTTTTTTTCCTGAGGAAGATTGGCCCTGAGCTAACATCTGTTGCCAATCTTCCTCCTTTTTTTTTCCTTTTTTCTCCCCAAAGCCCCAGTAGATAGTTGTATGTCATAATCGTACATCCTTCTACTTGCTCTATATGGGACGCCACCATAGCATGGCTTGATGAACGGTGAGTAGGTCCCTGCCCAGGATCCAAACTGGTGAACCCCTGGCCGCCGAAGCGGAGCGTGCAAACTTAACCGCTACGCCACTGGGCCGGCCTCTGAAGTTGCATAATTTGTTTTAAAAAATGTCTTACCAATTTCTTATTCAATTTATCCCTGAGCATTTTTTTAAATTTGGGGTAACTATGAATGGAACATTAGCTTCTTAGAAGAGCATAAATACCTCTGTGCAGAAGGTGCAGTCTAAAGCAGTAATACAGATGGTACATATGTTCAGCAAAAGGTATGTGTTAGAATGTTCATAGTAATATTACATAGTAATTTCTAATTACTCCAAACTGGAAACTACCCAAATGGCTATCATAGAATGGATAAACTGTCATATATTCAAACAATGGAATACTACACAGTAATGAGAACAAATGTACAACCACAATGTATGAAAAAATATGGATGAATCTCCATATGGATGAACAATATAGATGAGCAAAAGAAATAAGATACAAAAGAGTATGATTAGATTTAGATAAATTACAAAATAGGCAAACCTAATCTATGCTGTTAGAAATCAGGATAGTGGTTATATTGGGAGGTGGGAGTATGAGGGGGCTTCCAGGATGCTAGCAATGTTCTGTTTTTTGATCTGAGGTGCTGGTTATACAAACATGTTCAGTTGGTGAAAATTAATTGACACTTATGTGTACGTTTCTGATTGTGTATTATACTTCAATTAAAAAGTTAATGAGGGGCCGGCCCTGTGGCTTGGTGGTTAAGTGCGCGCGCTGCAATGCTGGTGGCCCGGGTTCGGATCCCGGGTGTGCATCGAGGCACCACTTCTCCGTCCATCCTGAGGCCGAGTCCCACATACAGCAACTAGAAGGATGTGCAGCTATGACATACAACTATCTACTGGGG